CATGCGCTCACAGGCACCGCACCACTGCATAAGTGCATCACCACCGCTGGTAACGCACCCTGGCTTTCACTCCTCTGCGCGTTGTCGATCGCCTGGCCAACGAACAGGGGCAATGCGCCGTCAGCACAAAGCAGCGGCCAGAATCGTGCGGTTTGTCTAGATCAAGACGGTCACCACCACCACCACTGCGCGTTCTCCTTCGGCTTCGGAGCGACCAGAGAACTTTCAATGCGCTTGCGAGATCTGGGGATCGATGGCACAAAAGGTGTAAGTAGTGTAACATGGCCAAAGGCGATCATATACATGCATGTCGCATGGCTGGCACATTGCTTGTCTACGCACGGCCCGGTGCAGTCCGCCATCCGCACAAGGACAACACGAGCTCAGTGCGCACGGTCAGCAGCCCCAGCCCAGCAGCGCACGCAGCAGCATGCGCCCATGTTGCGCCAACGAGCACGGATGGGGCATGCTACGACAGCACATGCATGTGCGCGTCACTTGGCCCAATGACCACAGCGGGCACACCGCAGGCGTTCGGGATGTGTACGCACGAAGCGTCCCTACACGCCGAAGCTGTGGCGTGGTGCATCCAATCATGGCAGACCTGCAGGCAGACGCACGAAAGCTGCCTTTCTCACCACACCATGTGCTCAAAGGAAGCAGAGGCGCGTCAAACGGGTTCGCCTGCGCTCTGACAGTGCTTGAGCAGCACGACACAACGCTGGCTGCGGCAGCATGCGCCGCACCCGACGCCGACACACAGGCACCGTTGGCGCTGCTCTTCCCTTGGGCGGAAAGGAGCAGGGCGACTCCAAGGGTGCAGCGGGCAAGCTTGGCTCGGGGTCCGGGGCTGTTGCTGAGCTGATCGTGGAGGCCGCCGCTCACAGCCCGCCCTTATCTGATACCTTGCTTGCTTGGCCGTCTGGTGAGGCCGGCCAGCAGGGGCGGTTGCAATAGAGCGGGAAGAGGTCCCAAGTCGAAGCGTCAGCGGTTCCTGAATCAGAAGTCTGCTATTTGTGGCGTTGATTGCGGATTGCTTGGGTGGTGGTTCCTACACGCTGTTGCAATCAGCATGCTGCATGTGAATGTTTCAAGCCCATTCACCCGAAGGTTCCAGTAAGCCCGCTGACCACCGAGCTTGAAAAATTGCGATATGGTGTGACACGGTCTGTCTTCACACATGCCATTGTTGAATCCAGACACAGCCGTAGTACATGCACTGCAGACTTTCACAGCAAAACATGCTCATATTGACCGAGCTCTCAGCGCACAGAAGGGTGGCCTTCCGTATGTGTGTTTATTGAAAGCTTGTTTCTGTTCACGAATTTCTAGCTTTCTGACCTAATGGTGCACTGTAGATATTTGGTCAACCCTGATCAATGTTGACGTTGGGAGGAGCTGTGAACGTTTTACTCGACAGCACGCGCACACGCTTGTGATGTTGGTGCATCGAGCATGTCATGATGCATCACGCGATGCTGGCTGCTCCTTGTTCTGGCCTGCAGCCCCCGTGTGGTCTGGGCCTTCTGCCTCACCACCTTTGTGCGCAACCGCCTACGGTGAGCCTGCTGCTCAGGGGCCATCATATTGCCAAGCAGTGGCCAGTCCAAGACAAAGGTGCAGCTAACCACTCCAAGTGAAAATGTGTGAATTGGGGCTAACTGCAAACGTCCTCCTCACACAAATGACCTCGAAAACGGGGGTGCACAACGTGGCCATGTCTGCCGCCCTTGCGCAAGCTAGCGCATCACAACAACTAGAATGTCGCAGCTGCGCTTGACCTCAGCCTCCTCGAATAAAATTGAAGACCACAAGGGCAACAATGACAGCCACCAAGGACCCCCACACCGCGCCATTGATGGCGCCCATCGCGACCCTGTCAGGGAGAGGGCGTGGAGGGTTGTGCATGCCGTGCACATGGACAAGGGGCCTCAGTGTGATGCGACGCGCCAGGATCAATCACCAACATCCTTGCTGGTGCGGCCTTGCGAGCATGTGCCACCCACCCAACTGAATTTGCGCACATCCCAAGATCACAAGCATCGCCGCGCAGTGGTCGTGAAACTGTGCCGCGCTGACGCCGATGCTGCCAGCACCATCAAAAAACCCGCTCACTGCTGCACAGCTCCCGACATCTCCGACTTCTCGGCGTCAGAGATGGGCAGGTTGTCCAGCAGGCTGCTGGTCACGCGCTCGCCGTCCTGCTGACTCTTCTGCACCCAATCGCCGGTGCGGTCCAGGCCCTGCAGGGTGGGGCAGCAGTCGTGACAGCAGGGCGCGGTGATAACAAAGCTTGAACTTGAGGCACTTGGCAAAAATGTTGCTGCTACTCCGACAGCACGTTTGCGGCGCAGCTGCTGGCGAGACGGTCAGCTGCCGCCTGCTGCAGTTGGCCCGCAACGGCCCCGCCCTCCAGGACGCACTTGCAGCGCTTGCAGCGCCTGGACGTGCGGCAGCGAGTCCTCGTCGCTGGAGCCAAAGCCGCCTCGACGCCGCCAGCGCCACACATCAGACAGCATGGCCTGTATGCCATTTTGCAAGCGTGCACGCGTGTGTGTGTATGTGCGTACATAAGTGTGCAGGGGTGCATGTGTATGCGTGCGTGCATGTCTGCATGCGTGCTCATGCCCATGCGTTCATCAGCTTGTGTGCCAGCGCGTGTGGCAGGCCGCAACCTGCGGTGGGTCTTCACAGCTGCGTCCCACCATCCGTACCCCCGCGCACGCACATTGAGCACCACCAGTGCCTCTGTGTCCTGCGTCCGCTCGCTGCCGTCCTCGCTGGCCGGCGCCAGCAGCGCCTGCAGCGCCGCCGCCGCGCGCTCCACGGGGAAGCCCTGGTATTTGACCGGCGGTTTGACCGCGCGCGACACGTACCGCTGCACCTCTGCGCGCGGGAAGTCCAGGCCTGCAGCAGCCGCACGAGGGGGGGTGCGTGCAGGCATGCCGGGCAGGGCGTGCCGGCCCTGGGTGCTTGCAACGCTTCGGGTGTCATGGTTGGCGCCCCGTACCTGGCAGAGCAGCTACACTGTGCAGGATCCGGCCCGTTGGAGGGTGCAAGCGCCCTACGCAAGGTTGGCTGTGCCAAGCGGCACGTGCCAATCCGCACTTTGCATTGCATGCAGGTGACTCTCCGTCTTCCTGGGCTCACCTGCCAGCTCAGCCAGAACTGTGTTGCAGCCCTTCACCAGCTCTGCGCGCCGCGCGCGCTCCGCACGCTGCGTGCTCTCGTCCGACTCCACCTGCTGCATGGGGAAGAAGAAAAAAAGGAAAGCCGCCATTTGCGGCAGTGTCGCCAAGCCAGACGAGCAGCCGGAGGCCAACAACAGATGAGTCGTGGGTTTGCAGTGGGAAGCGTTGCAGCTGCCGCCGTTGACGCCTGTCCGACTCGCGGGCCTGCTGTCTTCGTCTGCACTGCCTGCGTTCGCAGACAAACCAACTAGCCCAGCGATCGCCCTTCATGCTGCGCTGCGCAGTGTGCTTGCAGCCAGCCGTACCCCATCCCACCCAAGCTGTGCCCCCCCCTGACCCCCCCACCC